TTTATGTATCTACCAATTTCAATTTCTTTCCATTTTTTTTCGTTAAATCACTATAATAATTTTTTAATAATATTTGAGTTAGCAGAAACATCGTATCTTATTGCTTTTATAAGGGATTTTGTGGTATAAAGATCTCTCCATTCATGACATTTCCTTCTAATAAACTTATTCTTGGAAGCAATGAAACGAACTGCAATTCAACATAGGCAGAAAGGTAAGGGATTAAATCTTAAAAGTAAAAAATTTGATTATGTCAATGATTAATTGGGGTAACAACATGCTTGATGTCTAAAATTTAGTATAGTTTATTATATTTGTATTTAATGTTAACAATTTTTAGCTTTATAAGATTCATTATTGACAACCCTTTCTTGGTAGTTGTATTTAAAGCTAGTGATAGATATTGTCAATTTTCATTATATCATAGAGGTATAGAAGTTGGTATGTATACAGAGAATTAAAGCTTGCTAACGTTTTCAATCTTGAAGGTTCGATTCTTTGATGAAGGAGCCTTCAAGATCAGTTTTCCTCTTGAGTCGAACACTCTTAATTGGTTGTGCTCCAAATTCATTGAATAATCTTTTTCAGGGAATTGTCTCATACTAAGCAAGTTACTTTTCATGTTAGGAACAAAAAGAACATCTGAGATGACTGTGGATCTGCCATTTTTCCTTTGAACAATTACCTTCCCAACTCCCTCAGCTGCAACGGTACTGTTATCAACAACCTTAATCTTGCTCTTCACATTCTCATTCAGACCAGCAAACCAATCTCTGACAGGTCATATGATTGGAGCATGCTGTGCCCAGATACCAATGATCACTTGTATCATTATTTGCCTTCGTAGTTGCCATCATATGTGTGCCAATTGTACCTCATCATCCTTTTCATTTGCCTTAGATCTGCACACGCTTGCAGTATGTCTGAATTTGTCTCATGCAAAAAATTGAATCTGTTTTTTGTCATACCATTTCCTCCAATTCCTTTTATGAACACCACCCTTCCATTGGTTCTTCTCACTAAATTCTTGATCATTGTGCTTAAGAACAGACGCTCGGTCTCCTTTTTGTTTGTCACCATTTTTCTTCCATTTCTTTGTAGTGTTCCTACTGGTTTGAGCTTCCAGAACCTGCATTATTCCCTTATCAGAATTCCCTTTATTAAGATGTAATGCATGCACCTCAAGCGAACCTTGCAGTTCTTCCAATTTTAAAGTTTCAAGGTCCTTGGATTCTTCTATGGCCACCACTATGAGGTCAAATCTTGACATCAATGTTCTGAAAACTTTCTCCACGAACATTTCATCTGTAAATTTCTCACCGCAAGATTTCAACGGATTGGTTAGAACTCATTGTCTGCGCAGGCTCTGCAATTTCACCTTCTTTAGCTTGTCCGCACCAGAATAGGACTTGTTGAGAATGTCCTATGCCTCCTTTGTCATTGAAGCAAAGACAACCTTCTCAAAGTTTGCAGCATGCACGCACTGATGGATGATGAACATCTCCTTGCCGTCCTTCTTCTTTGCTTCATGAAATGCAGTCTAGCAGAACTTTCTTCCACTTCTTGCACTCCATTCTCCACCACTTCCATCACATCTTGGAAGCCAAAGATCAATTTCACCGTGGATGCACCATTTTTCCCATTAAAGAAAGTAGGAAAGTTTTCATTTGATGTTGCCATAATAACAGTATAAGTTGTTTAAAAGGTTCAGATTAGACACAGAAGAGAGAAAAATGAAATTATGTATATTCGGTACTTTGTTATTGATCATGAGAGGTATATTTATAACTAACAAAACAATTTGTGAATCACTAACAATTCTCACTAGATACATACTCTATGATTTTGTTATGTTATTCATGGATTAGTAATGCATGAACAATTACTACAACTACAAGAATACATCTCTTTTGGGTTCTCAATTCTTAAATGCATTATTTTAAAGCAATAAGAATTTGGACAATATCAAAACGTGTAAGTAGAATGCCCATCAATTAAAAAGGAGGTTGATTAAAACGGTGACTATGTATTGTGAAGAGTGAAAATCCTTCTTCTTTTAGTGTATGAGTGAAAGTGATCAGAAAATGAAAAAGAATTGGTCTATTATTCAGACCTCCTACGCCGTGGAAAAAAAAAACGGTATACGAGTTAGAGTCATTTATTTAGGGAGCGTGTGAGGGGGCAGGAAATGTGAGCCCAAGCCCAAAGGGTGAAAATTTGTTTATCTTTACTTAATTTTAGATTATAAAATTAGTTTTTAAAATTTTATTTTAGTTATTACTTTTATTAAAAGGGAATTACATATCTAAATATTTCTTAAAATCCTTACATTTTATTTTATTCTTTATAAAAATACTACTTATTATTATTTTTTAAGCTTCTCTTTCTACACTTTTTATGGCTATTTGGTCCTAACTTTTAAACTTTTCAAGTTCAATAGTTATTTTATTTATTTTGCATTTACCCCTTTTTATTTATGTATTTATTAGATTGCCCTTTAGAGTCGGGCACTATTTTTCTCATTTGATGATTGGACTTCATTTTATTCTTGTGTAATTAATTGGGTTTAACTGAATTAAATTTTTGCATTATATTTTAATTTATTAAATTTAATTAAATGATAATTAGGCTAATAAATAAAGTAAGTTGGATAAAATTGAGTGTTTACGGGACTTGTTGGTTTAAGCTTTTAAAAATGATTCTTATAATATATAAAAATAATAATAGCTATTTTTTAAAATTTTATGAAAGTATTATTTTTTGTTTGATTACAATTATAAAATTAAATCTTTTAAAAAACAATTTGTTGTATTGTTCCCTTTTTTTTCATATCATTTTTAAGGTGAAATATTATTTTTTATTAAAATATTGAAAATAAAACAATGTAAGGCCTTATTTGGTTCGTTCATTTTTTGTTTTTAACAAATATAGAAAATAGAAGAAAAACTATGTTTGGTTGAGTTTTAAAAATTATTTTTTTTAAAAACATTTTCAAAATCTAACCCAAATTTAAAAATGAAAAAAATTTCTTTTCAACATTTTTATTTGAAATAGAAATACTTAATAATAAAACGAATTAAAACGTGGTGATATATAAATATCATCCAATTTTAATTAGATTACGTTGTGTTTATCAACTTATGTTTCATCTTTCTCATTTAACAACGCGTCTCTCTTCGTCTTTTGTAATAGTTTTTTAGATAATTCTTTTCTTTTTTCTCCTATTTCTTCTTCATATTTATTCCTCATCATCTTTCTTCTTTTTTTTCTTTCATGATTTTTGTCATTTTTTTATTGAAATACAATAACAAAATTTCTTTTTTTTATCATTCTTACAAGGTTGAATATGTGTTTTTTTTTTCTATTTTTTATTTTTTCTTAATCTCATATTATTTCTGTTATTAAAATTTTGATGGACATTATTATTTTTTATATCTTTACATGTGAATTTTTCAATTTTTATATAATTTTAATGTCATCATTTTAATAATTATTTAAGACTAAATAATTCTAATATATATTATACATTATAATCGAAGTATATAAACAATATCTTTTATTATTTTTTTAATCTTTCATTTTGTTGCTTGTAATGTTACATGTATTGCTATTTTTTTAATCTTTTAGTTTGTTGTGTTACAATGATATGTATAGAATTTAAAATGTTATGTACTATATCATTTATTTGATACTTTTTATATGTTAATTACTTCTTATACTATATATGCTATTTTTTATTTTTAAAATATTAAGACATATTTATCTATATATTATATTATTTTTATTTATATATATAAATTAATAAATAAATTTAAAATATATATTTATATTTAAATAATAATTTTTAAAATACACGTGCATTATTAAAATACTCATGATTAAATAAGATAAAATTGAAAAGAGTATATACTTTTTAATTTCTCTTAAACAATTTTTTATTAAAATTAATGAATATTTATAAGATTAATAAATTTATGTTAAAAAGAATTTATGCATCACACAATGTCTAAATTATAATTATATTTATATAATATTTTCATTATTTTAGTCTAAAGACACAATAGTGATAGTATTTAAACTTATTAAATAAATCGTGCAACAAAATTTACATTAATAAGGATATATATTATAAAATTTTTATTATAAAATTGTTTATTAATAAAATATTAATGATTAATTTTAAACTTTATAAAAAAATAAATCTATTATAAAAAATAGTTAGTTAAACAAACGGATTTTCAATGTTTTTGGTTTTTGAAAACCAAAAAAAAAAGTTAAACTAAACACACCAAAAAGATAAACTAACCTCAACCTTACCAGTGTTTGTTTTAATCCCTCTTGCTCCATTTGTTGTCCAAACCGAAACAAACAACACTACAAAGTTTTTCTCCCCTTGGCCTGATATGTTGGAGATGGTAGTACAAATAGGGTACGATTAAGAGAAGAACAATGGGTGAGTTCTAAGAAAAAAAATGACAGTAAAATATCATTTATAATTTTTTTATTACTTAATAAAATAACCTTATAGAAGGTTACGTCAAAATAAATTTTTAACATTAAGCTTAAATTATAAATTCAAAATAACTACTTAATAATTAATTATATAAATTCCGTCACATGCCAAATTATAATAAAGCCATATAAAAATAGATACCTATACCCGCTTTAACTCAAGTACCGGAGTACTCACCTTTTAAAAATTACTTAAAACATGTCAAATTAATTAGAATTGTGATTTTTTTTCAAATTCTGATTTTAAAGACTTTAAACACACTTAACTTTTACAAGTGACTTTTTGCAAAATTAAATTATTTTTTCATGAACAAAAGCTGGGACATGCAGACTCATGCAATGGAGAAATTCTAGAGATCAGCTTGCAACAGCAAAGCCTCAAATCATCTACGTGGGAAGTCAACAACCTTAAATTTGTTTTGAAGGAACATTTATTGTGCTAGTATAGTATCTATAGATAATCAATCAAAATTTGAAGATAATAATAGAATAACCTCAACATGGACTTTAATTTTAATACATCGTGTTTCTAATTGGTAGTGCCTATATAACATAATGCTCATGCAAGATAACAACCACAGTATAAACCAGATGAGAGGATCACAAATCATATATCTTGGATTTTTACTTCAAATAATAATTTACAAAATATCCAGTTGAAGAGTGTATCATGACACGGTAATACATCTGAGCATGCAATTAAGCAAGAGATGCATGAGTTCCACAAATCCTTGGCTTCCCATCAATAAATTCAGAATCACAATACAGTCTCCCATCTTCTGTACACCAATATCACCTCTCAAAAAATAGTCTAGAAGCTAAATTTTGTACCAATTTCGCTTTTTTGGCATCTATATGATGTTTTAAAAGATACATTTGTCATTGCATGGATTCTTTAACCGAAGGAACTGCATACATATGATTAGAAAAACTCATTTCTTGAGCTAATATTAACATTAAACCTTCCTCATATATTAGGCACGGAGAGAAACTCAAGCTCTCTAATTATCATCATTGCATTGATGCTGTTCTTTGCCAATGAGTGAGCATTTGTTTCAATTGATATAAACAAATCAAATGTCAGCAAGTTTCATCCTATAGCTTAGTTTGGCACTTCACCTGAAAGGACCTGAACTCCAAAAGCCTTGAGCCTGAAGCCATGCAAAATGGAATTATGTGTGCCCCAGCTCACCTATTCTCAGATCCAAATTTATTACACTGATACTCTTATGCTTTGGCTCCTTATTTTACAATTACCTCCTCAGCAAACAGAACAATGAATAGTTCGTCGTAACCAAAAGGTAGTCTGACAACCTTCAAAGACATCCTTATGGAAGTGGGCCCATGAAAATTTCAGTGTCATAAACCATTTGCTCGGCTGAGTAAAGACGAGTTGGGACTCAGATCAAGGGATGGGTTAATCTTTACATGTTCCCCCAGCAGCTGCCGGCAGACGCGATCAGCCAAGATTGATTGAACATCGTATGGCTCATTATGAGGAGGCCTTGCAAAATGCTTCCCAAGAACATCATTTTCACTTGGAACCAGTTCTGATGTAATGTGAGAGGTCTTTTGCATTCCTCGAAAAATGTCAACATTTGAGTCATGATGAGCAGAGCCACTAGCGTAGCCACTGTTTAAGGACTTTGGCAGGTTCCCAAGACCCTCCTGAATGTAAACTAAGTGATTGCTAAATGGAATAGCACCACTACCACCATTTAGAGGTGTGGAGGCACCAGAAGCAGTCCGAGGGCTAGATATAGGAGAGGGAGACATTCTCCCACTCATATGCTGTGGTGATCTTGACCTCAACAGTGGGCTTCCAATGGGAGAGACCGGGCAAGATATATTCCTTGGAATATGGATTTCACTGGAGATTCATGAAATAATTCAAAACACCATTTGTAGTGTCAATAACCTTGTGAGTGTAGGGTGTGTGTGTGTGTGTCATGTGCGCATGTGTATGAGAGAGAAAGAGAGAGGAGGGGGAGCAAGAGAGTGAGAGGAGAACCTCGCATGATGATTAGTTTTCAAAACCCTAGAGGAATGAAGAGCCAATCTATCCGAATCCAATGCAGAAAGATTCCTTCCTTGTCCAATGCCCTGAAAATTTATCAAAGATGTATGCAATTACCAAAATAATAACAACAGGAAACATGATAAACCACAAAGGATAAACAACTTCAAAGGTCATCCCATTGTTACAGGCAAATGTTCCAGAATTTTACATTTGGAAGATAATTCATGTGAACACCTAATCCAGAGCCTCCAAATGCAGAGGTACAAACTAAAACAGCCTGTTTTGCTGATGAAAATAACCAACCCCAAAATTAATTTGATGACAACCCCCCCCCCTTTTCTTTATTTTGTTTTCCCCCCTCCAAACTCCATGTGTATACTTTACTCCAAGGTAATGGAAAATTATAACTTATAGTTTGTAGTAACTAGTAAGTAATTGCTTTCATACAGCTTCTCTAGCTGTATCTGTGTCTGGTTCTGTCTTTATCTTCTAATTCCAAGGGAATAAAAGTCATGATGAACCATTAATTAAAATAAAAATCTAATGCATTTCAACAAAAAATATTAGAAATGGACTAAGCCAACTCAACTTCAAAGGCTAGCTCAAGAGGGGAGGATTGCCCAAGAAGAATAAGGAATACTCTAGCCTTATTCCTAATCAATGTAAGACAACTTAATACTCCCTCTCACACTCAAGACTGAATATTAGACTGGATATCTGCCTAACATAGAGACTAAATAGGCTTTGATGCTATATATTAAAAATGGACTTCACCTAATTTACCCTCAAAAGCTAACTCAAGAAGGGAGGATTATCCAAACCTTATGAGTATTCTAATCATATTACTAAAGAATGAAAGACGACTTAACAAAGAAAAACCCTTTTATTCAAATATGCACACAGTATATACTGGTCTCTGATAAATGCAAACAGTAATTCACAAAGCCATTTTCTATGGAAATATTGACGAAGAGTGAAAATAAAGTTCATGCATTTGCCCAAATATTCTGTTCTCTGATAGAATCAAATTATTAATGTATGTATTTCCAAGAGCATAACATGCAATGCACCAGAAACATGCTATTCGTACTTCAAAATGTAATATGGAAATAGAACACAACCAAAATTTTATGATTTATGATAGAAATAGCTTCTGTACCAGAGCCTTTGCCCCTTGTGTGACCCCAGATGACTGATCTGAAGCTTCAGGACCCAGGATAGGTCTTTCTAAAGGAGCAGCACATTTTACAAAAGGGTGGTCCAATAATTCACTGGCTGGAGGGCGATTTTGTGGATTTCGTTGCAGACATTTCCTAACAAAATCCTTTCCTTCACTAGAGAGATGATCTGGAATTGTTGGGAGTTCCTTGCTATTACCAATCTTGAACATAGCAGCAACCTATTATTTTGACATACAAAGACAATAATACATTAAGTGAAGTAAAAAATTAACACAAGAATATCATCAGTGTTTTATAAATGAAAAAGACAAAATAACTGCTTGTGAGTGATCATGGTTTATTTTTTTGCTAACCCCTTCATATTGACTCCAAGGAGGTTTAGTTGTAGCCATTTCCAAAACTGTACATCCAAGACTCCATATATCAACAGCAAGGTTGCAACCATTAGAGTTCTTTATAACCTGAATAGTCAGAAAGCAATATATCAAGCCACAAAATCAAGATGAAATTGAATCCATAAAGAACTGAAGCTAATAGAGAAAACATTACAACCTCAGGAGCCATCCAATAAGGGCTTCCCTTGAATGATAATGGACATGATTGCCCCGTTATCTGCAAAAATATATAAGTTAGGGGAACAGGATAAATCATGCAATTTTCTGAGTATGACAATCTCAAATGGCAATTATGCAGGAAAACAATATCTTATGAACTTGATAAAATCAAAAGAACCTAATGTCCTCATTAGTCATTTTTGGATTATGACACATTTTTTGGAGTTGGAGCCATACATGATAAATTGATAATGTTGGAGCAGGAACAGAAATCTCTAGAAACAAACCCCCCGCAAATTGAAAATAGCGACTTCTTTGAATTAGTGTTTTTTAACTTGTATTCATAATTTTGCTGAGCATCAAAACCAATTTTATATCTTACTCTATCAGCTTAAATGCAAGAAAAAGAGGATGTTTTATCTCCAAGCTTACATGCTTTGCCATGCCAAAGTCTGCCAACTTGACCCGGCCATTGGTATCTACCAGTATATTTGCTCCTTTGATGTCCCTTTACAAAAAAATGCAATATAAACAATAGATACATCAAAACTCAGAAGAATAGAGAAAATAATCACTATCTGGCAGCAGAAAAAATTAGACAATTAAAAAGATATATGACTAAGTTCACCTATGGACAGTATTTTTAGCATGTAAATACGCAAGTCCAGACAAAATTTGTTGAGTAAAACTACGAATAGCTAGTTCACCAAACTGTCCATATTCTTGAAGCAGTTTATATATGGAGCCTCCTGCTACATATTCCAGGTATATGTAAAGCTTGTCGTCTACCTGTTTAAGGGATGATTCAGAAGCTTCTATAAGTAGACAATAAAAACAAATACTGCAAACAAGCTTAGAACATTATGGTGTTAGGTAAATATGTAAACCACCAGCAACTAATAATCTTGTAACTAGATCATGCATACATTAGAAATTGGCAGTCTGCAGACAAATCCCAAAATAAACCATGATCACTCACAAGCAGTTAGCAAAAAAATCAGAATATGAATGAAACAGGAAATGGAAAACTTACTGTTTCAGAACCATAATACTGCACAATATTTGGGTGTCGTAATCGGCTTAACAAGGTAATTTCCTGCCAGAAATGGGGAGTTAGCTTTTCAAAGCTACATTAAATTTGAAATAGAGCTAGATACTAATGCTTTGCATAAAGTGAAAAGGACTATTCATTCCCACAAAAATTTCCTAGGCCTAAAAGGAAAATATTTTACCTGCATTAATTGCTTAGCACTTTCTTTAGATTTGGCATCATCTGAAAACAGAGTTACCTCCTTCATTGCACACATTTCACCACTTTCCCTGAAGTGACAAAACATTTTAATCAAACAATTTTAAAAGATGCATACATCAATGAATTTTCAATAAAAAACAGGATTTCCTCATAATAAACGTAAGAACTTTCAGTCTAAAGTACATACTTATTAAAACCAACATAGACATGTCCAAATGTGCCTCTGCCAAGCAGCTTTCCTTTTTTCCAGCGTGATCCAGGGCTTATTGGATTATCTGCTCTTCCTGGACTTCTTGGCATAGATGGAGATGTTGCTGCAGAATTTGAATGAGAGAAAGGCAAAGAATTGGTAACTGCTAAGGGAGGAAGGGGCAATCGATGACTCTGTTGTTTTCCGTCATCAACCCATCCTGTCTGTGATTCAGTGGGTGTTCCCCCAGCTCTGGGATGAATAGGTGTAACAGCTCCACTCTGAATTCTAGAGCTTGGACCAGGGCTAGTCATTCTAGGGCTAGGTATAGGTGAATATTCAGGGCTACCCCTGCTTGGTTGCCAAAATAACTGTCCAGACATGTCCCCTCCCATTGAATTATGCCCAGAATTGTGTCCAGAACCTGGACTTGAGCAGTGTCCAGATCCACCTAAATTGACCTCTGAATATGGCTTTCCAGCCCAAAAAGCAGAGTTCAACACCTGTTCTGTGCCAAATGCTCTCAATGGACTTCTTGACGGACTTGACCTGGAACTGTCAGGAGCACTACAGAAAGCACCATGGGGAGGAATCTGCAGATTTGGAACATGGTTGCTTAGAGGCCTCCGTTTTGGTGAAGTAGAAGACATATGATTACCCAGAATGTTTGCTGGCTTTTTGGCTTCTCTTGAATTTACTTGGGAAATAGTACTTGATTGATCCTTAGGCATCAAGCTTCATAAAAAGGCCAACATCCAGAATGAGTAAAACAATTATTAGCAAAATAATTAAAAATGTCTTGAACCAACTACAACAAAAGTTCAAACTTTTAGGTGAAAACACGCGAATGATTTTAAATTACATCTCCAACATGCATCCTCATATAAGAGACTATTGAACTTTGAAGAGTGGATAATACACTGGTCCACAGACCTTGTACTGAAATTCAAGTTATAATCAGAAGAATAGGGACAACAGGGATTGAACTCTAGAGAGGCATTGATAACAATTTGAACCAAGTAAATATCCTAAAAACTTAAGCTTCTAGGGGAAGACACAGTGGTTTTATATGACATGACATCTCTAACAATAAATACCCTAGGCATGCATATGTAACATATTATGCAATCTTCAAGAACATTATCATGAATGCTTGTAGTGTATACCTGGAAGGACTGCCTGCAGCAGTTCTAGTCCCAGTCTCAGAGTCAGTTGCCAGGGGACTACGATTGCGAGAGTCCACTGGTTCATCACTATCAGCAGAGCTCTCACTAGAGACTGAAGCGGTGACCAGATCTCCATCCAAATCTGCAGGGTTCAGTCTGCCACGCATGCATGCAGGTTTTGGTAGTGGAAGAAATAACGATGGTTTGGAGACCTTTTCAAGTCTTGCTTTGGAAGATATGCTAATTTCAGAATCTGCTCGGCTTAAACTTGATGGGTGCAGGCAAGGAAGGGGTAGTGGCTGAGCATGAGGCCTTTCAGCAAAACTTTGACACCTTGCCACTTTGGAAGGTGACGGAGATCTTGACTCAGAAGGAGACTGAGCCCCTTTCTCTGAAATTGAGTCATTGCAATGTCTCCGTGATCCTCCAGATCTACTGCTTGGTTTACCTTCAGATGGGATTTTAAATTTCCGGTGAAATGCATCAATAAAACTTTCCTTAGTTGCTTTCTTCTTGGTTTCTTTCGATGACGATTTCCCCCACCATGAAGGCATATTTGTATTTTATAGATTGAAATGTGGGAACCAAGTTTCTTAAAAGAATCCCATTACTAGTTTGAAATAGTTATCATTTCAAATTAGTAAATGGGGTCATAAGCATTATGATGCTGCCAAAACCCTCACCAATGCAGAATTCAATAATTCCAAGAGCAGTTGGAGTCAGACAGAATTTGGTGATGGAAATGGTTGCTAAAAAACCTGCAACCGAGAACAACACGTATATTAAATCTCTAAAAAACACAAATTTTCCGTAAGCATATATATTGTATGCATATACTTCTATATGTGCACATCCGTTTTTAATCAGTAAGCCTATTAAAAGACTGTCCTAACTCCTAAATGATATATTGCACAAAATTGTGATGACAGAAGAAGCTATCAATTCAACGATTCAACAGTTTATGATACTACTAGTTATCCACTTTTTTCAATTAGTTGGTCAAACAGTGCATGGTAAGAGAAATATCATACACACGATCCAACACAACAATGGATTTAACTAAGCATAATAAATATCAACAATTCCATCAGTTAATCTTTGGGCCGCAGATTCTCAAGCCCAAAACCTAGTACAGTATCTATGTAACATAGTATAGCGTAAGCATCTCTAACCTTCAAAATCCTAATCGATATATATTAATGCAGCATCACATCATTTACAGCACAACAGTTTTATGTAGATTCTAAAACTCCCTTAAACTTGGATGATTAAGACAATGGCATCCACCACTTTGCATCAGCTCAAATTCCCTAGTTTGCAGCTTAAGAAAGCAAAGTCTAATGGTTTAACATCCTAACTGCAAAGCCATAATCTGAAAATTGAAAAATACATATATAAAAATGAAAATGCTAAAGACCATAACAATTTGTACACAGATCGTCAAAACAAAAGAAACCCATGTCCCAATTAAACTAATCTTCACAAATAGATTACTTTTTACGTGTGTTCCAATACCCAGATTCCAAAACCCCTCACTTAGAGAAAAAAAAGTAAAAAATAAAACACAAACTGTGAACTCTACTCCCTTTAACTACACCAAAATTTCTGATAACCACAAGTGAACCCACAACCCCATTGTCAAAAACAATCACTTCAAAACACAGATCCACTCATCCACTGACACATAACACTGAACACACAAAAACAGCGAAATCAACCAACTCGATCATCATTCGCTGAAATTAGAACAAACTCAAACCCAGAATGCAGTAAAGGTAGAAACTTACTTCGAATTTCTCAACGCGTGAATCTGAACTCAACACCACAGTGTCATATTCAGCTCAAATCTAAGTATGAAAAAAACAACAACTCAAACTCTTCCAAAGAGAGAAAGACCGGAAAATCGAAAATGCAAGAGAACGAAGAGAGATTTGCAGCGATGGGTGATAAAAAAATTAGGAATTGAAAGACAGTGTAAGAGATCGCGTACGGAAGAAGAAGAGAGAGAAGGTGTGAAAGAGAGTAGTGTATATTCTTCTGCTCGACATCGAAGAAGAGGGTCTCTCTTCGTTGATTCTTAATAGTTAATAATTATTTAATTAACAATTTGTGCATATAATAATTATAAATTATACAACCTAATAATTACATCGTTTTTATTACAATTTTTTTGCCGATTGAAATTATTACAAGCAACAACTAAATATTTTATAATCTATTGAAGTTATTTCGGAAGATATTCTTAGAATACACTTATTATTAATAGTTTGTAGTTTAATTTTTGTAATTTACTTGAATTTGTAAATTAATAATTACGTGTACAAAAGTTGTAAATCAATTTATATATATATATATATATATTATCAATTTCATTCCTATAATCAAATTTAAAGTAAATGACTTTAAATAAAATAAATAAAAATTAAATTAAAAAAATAATTATAAAGACTGATTTATAAATTTTACATAGAAACTAACTTACAAATCTAAATATATTTTTATAAATTTGAGAGACACTTTGGTTTGCATGTTGATTTGGTAGATTTTGATGTTAGCAATGTCAATGAGTGCATAATTAAAGACAAGCAAAAGATTTTGTCAATGGATTAAAGTTTGGAGTATGTGTTGTGTAGGTGAAAGTAAAAGTGAAGATGGTGAAAGTGATTGAGAAGAGAAGTGAATTTAATAAAAATGTTAATAATAGATTAAGTTTTGAGGATGTGAAGCTAAAAAAAAAAAATACTTTAACTTTAGTTGAAGTTTAAGGTGTAAAAGAAAAATAGAATAAAGAAAATAAAATTAGAAGTCAAGGGGAAGAAGAGGGTACGAGGGAGAGTAGTGAAGTGGTTGGAAGAAAAAAAGATTTAATAAGGATTATTAACCATTGCTTAGGTTTTAGGAATGAAAAATTAAGAAAAGCAAAAATTTTAGCCTCCATTAAAAACAGAGTGAAATTGAGAGGTGAAGAAAAATAACACTTAAAAAAAATGACAATATCACCGTTTTGTTTATTCATCCTTTATTTAACTTAAATTTATAAATTAATCTTTATATATAAAAAATTTATAAATTAATCATAATATTTACATTTATTTTAATTTAATTTATCACTTATTTAACATTATTTACTTTAATAATGTTTATTTATCCTTTAAAGAATTTTATATGTTATATTTATTTATGAGTTAATATTTAATTTTATAATTTTTATTTTATTTTAATTATTAAAAGTACTGAATAGTATATGATTGGAAGAAAATAAAAGAAAAAAATTATTTAGTTCAAAATTTTATAAAAGAAAAATGAAAGAGATTAAGAATTTGTTTATTTCACTTTTAGTTTGTAATTTTAAAAATTATATCTTAAAATTATTTTAAAAATTATTTTTAAAAAATGAAAATAAAATTTTTATTAACAAATAAATTTTATTTTATTTCTTAAAAAACTGTTTTTTGAAAATAGAAAACAAATTTGTTCAAATTTTTTATTTTATTTTAATTCATTTTTAAATTTGAAAAATTAAAAAATGTTATGCTAATTAAATTAAAATACTTTTAATTAATAAATTCATTTAATTCTTTTAAGTGTATATATTAAATTTGTTTGTTTGGTTTCTCTTCCTATTAGATCATAAATTCGTGTCTCTCTTTTACTTACTGAATTATTAGTTATTCTCTTACTTTTTTTATTTAAAATATTGTCTCTTATTTTTTAACAGATGAATTTGAATTTCTTGATTCAAAAAATATTTGTCTCATTTCATATCCCAAGAAAATTTTAGGCACCATATAAAATATACTTTAATTTATTAGAATTGTTTAAAAATGATATAAAAAGCATTATCTCTCTCATTATACTAATTTAATTTTTTTTATTAATTTTATTATAATTTTAAATTAAAATTTATTAATATTTTTTTATTAAGTTATATAAATTTTGAAATTTTTTGTAATTATCGTTTACATGTGTAAAATTTATGTTATTACGTCTTAGAAACTTTCAAATTTTCTACAAATATCTTTCCTCATATAAAATTTATAATACTTGCTATATTATTTTATCATTTAAAATTTATTTGTAATTTTTAAATATTTATCATTTTAATATATATTATTTACAGTTATAAAGTTAAATTAAAATAATCTTTAAAAAAGATTTCTCAAATTATATTATATTATATTATATTATATTATATATATATATATATATATATATTAAAATATAATATTTCTATATTACGCAGTCTACTAACTAGTTAATCTAATTATTGAATTATAAATATATATCATTAAAATTATTTAGGTCAAATTTTATAAAGTTAAATAAAATTAAATATAGTTAAATAGTTGTTATTATTATTATATATATATATATATATATATACATATTCTTTTAATTTTAATGTGTATAAATGTAGTTATAAATGTTTTTAGATTAATTTAGAATTTATAGATATAATTTATATTAAGAAATTCAATTTAATAATTAATTTTGAGATAAAAATATTTAAATAAAAATGCTGAGCGGTATAAAAATAAGTGTAGTACAATTTATTTCTTGTTAAAAAATTTTAAAAATGTATTAAAAAATATTATAATGAATAATTTTGATATATAAGATATTAATGATGATATAGATTATAAATAATAACATATATTAACTTTTAAAATAACTTCTCGTGATTGCTAAGTAGTAAATAAAAATTTATGATATAATACCGTCACTCCAGAATGAAAGGAGTGATCTCGTAATTCTTAATATGTGAAAGTACGTTATTAAATGCTTTGTTTTTCTTTTTTTATTGAGGTTGAATCTAAACTTGTGTTCAGAGATAGCTGTTGTACTGTTAAAGGATATATGACACATGTTAGTATACATACATTAGAAATTTACAAATTTAATAAGATAATTAGTGTTTATATTAGTGTGAAAGATTGAAAAATAATATAAATTATAAATAATTCATTAAAAATTAATGTGCCATTATTTGTTATTAAAAAAGTAGCACAAACAATTACACAAAAAATTTATATATAATTTAAAAGATAAAAACATATAAAGTTAAGAAATAAATACATAAAAATATAATTTTTATGAACATGAAGTAATTAAATCAAATAAATTTTAATTTTTTAGAAAATACCATGCGAATGTCTACCAAAAATATTTTTAGAATAATAACATCGATATCAATTGGCTGTTTTTATTGTCTTTTTATTTTTTTCAAATATCTTAAATTAAATATTTGATAACTGTTTTTTAAAAATTAAATATTAACTTAATTTATGGAAATTGGTTTATTTAGTAAATTTTTATTCACTTATGTTAGGAACTTAGGATGGGTGATTTATTATCTGATTAAACTAGAAACAAACTCTTTTCTATTAGTATAATATTTTTAAAAAACAATTAATAATTAAGATGAGTAAATGGAAATTTGTTGCCGATGAGAGAAAAAAATTCTTTACTTTTTTCGCATTTAACACGTTAAAAAAGAAAATCTAATTACAAGAAAGATATTAGATTTAATTTTATACCGAATTTACCTTAGAATACTTATTATTACTATTACTATTATCTATTTTTACTTTATTTTATTGGTAAAATTAATTACATTTTTTGTCTTTTTAATTAAATTATATACAATTTTGGTAATTTTTTTAAAATTAACCAAGTCTTTTTATTTTAAAACTGAGAAAAATTAATCTTATTATTAATTTCTTTTATTAAAAATTCTCAAACTTCATTTTAAGAAACATTAAAATTTTCATTTACAAATCTTAATCTCACATCTTGTAGAAAAATTTTAATTTTATAAATTTTGCACTAGAATCTTGAGTTCTAAATTTTTTAGCTATTTCTTATTTCATATTTATTTAACAATTTAATATAAAATAATAATTTGAGAACTTAAATTATAAAAAAGTTAGCAATTAAATTTTGATATTAAATTATACTAATTTTTTACAATTAATTTTTTTAATGAATTTTTATTAAAACAAAAATAAATTATAAATGAATTGAAAATTATATTTTATAAATGGAAAAATATTTTTATGAAAAGTAATGTTCATTTAATATTGTTTATAAAAAATATTAAAATATTTTTAAATAATTAAATTTTTTTTATGAAACATTGGAAAGAAGTCTGAATGAAAGAAGAACGAAAAAAAAAGTTCTTATATCTTAATAATTTTTCCTCTATCATTTTGTTTTTAAATAAAAATTTAAACTATTAACATAGAATAGAGACAAATAAGTTATTAAATCAACAAACATTAAAAATAAAATTGGATAAAACTAGTTATCCTATCATCATGTTATGTTCTAACTAACAAATTAGTCTTGGCATATTTTTAATATAAAGAATAAAAATATGTTTATTTTTAATAACTTATTACTATTTGAAAATCAAATTAACCCAAAATTGAATTGACCAATAATCATATAAATTGAAGTACTTATTGGATTGGATTTTTTTTTGTTTTTAAAATTTTTCTATATTATTTTTAAAGATATATTTTATTATTACTATTTCTTATTTTTAAATTTTTATTGAATAATTTATTTTTAAATAATGACTTATCTTATGAATTTAATGATGAAATTCATTAGGATAAAGTAAAAGTAACTTATTTTAATAAATTATAGTAAAAAAATAAATTTATAAAATCATAAGCTATTTTCATTATATACTTTTCCAAATAAACCTTAACCTATTACAGTTAAATTTTGTCCATATAAAATTTCGCACTTTTGTTTAGTTATCTATTTTATCAAAAAGAAGGAAGTAACATGTATAATAAGGCTTAACAAGAGTACTAAATAGCTCAACAAGGGCTATGATTTTTTACTAGGTTTCCAAGTTATGGCTCAGTTTCATAACATACGTGGGAAAACTATGTGTATTCAAGGTTAATGTTAATAATATGGAATTTCCATCGTTCACAAAGTGTTGCGGGTTAAGGGTGTTGTGCAAGCAATCTTCCATGTTTTCCATGTTTGCTGCATAATGATATAATGTTACATGATGTTTGCTTCGAATTTAATTGAGGCATCAAATGTGCC